AGACGGTTTTACACACAAACACTTTTACACACAAACACTTTTACACACAGAGACTTTTCCACACAGATGCTTTTACACACAGGCTATTTTACACACAGACTCTTTTACACACAGACTCCTTTACACACAGACGCTTCTACACACAGAGGCTTTTACACACAGAAGCTTTCACACACAGACCCTTTTACACACAGGAGCTTTTACACACAGACGCTTTTACACACAGACGCTTTTACACACAGACGCTTTTACACACAGAATTTACACTCAGAAGCTTTTACACACAGAGACTTTTACACACAGACCCTTTTACACACAGGAGCTTTTACACACAGAAGCTTTTACACGCATACGCTTTTACACACAGAAGCTTTTACATACAGACGCTTTTACACCCAGACGGTTTTACACACAGACACTTTTACACACAAACGCTTTTACACACAAACACTTTTACACACAATCACTTTTACACACAGAGACTTTTACACACAGACGCTTTTGCACACAGAAGCTTTTACACACAGAGGTTTTTACACACAGACGCTTTTACAGACAGACGCTTTTACACACAAACACTTTTACACACAAACACTTTTACACGCAGAGACTTTTACACACAGACGCTCTTGCACACAGAAGCTTTTACACACATACGCTTTTACACACAGAAGCTTTTACACACAAAGTTTTACACACAGACGCTTTTACACACAAACACTTCTACACACAAACGCTTTTACACACAGAGACTTTTACACACAGACGCTTTTACACACAGAAGCTTTTACACACAGAAGCTTTTACACACAGACCCTTTACGTACAGATGCTTTTACACACAGGAGCTTTTACACAAAGAAGCTTTTACACACAGAAGCTTTTACACACTTCGCCGGACAACTTGAAAATCGCAATTTTACCTTTTGGTGATCAAACCTCGTTTCGTGCGAAAGGGTTGCGATTGGACAAGAGGAATCGCAATTTTTACCTCAGTTTTTGGCGATCGAACCTCATTTCGTGCGAAAGAGTTGCGACGGGAACCCAGAAATCGCAATTTTACCTTTTGGTGATCGAACTTCATGTCGTGCGAAAGGGTTGCACCGGACAAGCTGAAATCGCAATTTTACCACAGTTTTTGACGATCGAACCTCATTTCGTATGAAAAGGTTGCGCCGGACAAGTTGAAATCGCAATTTTACCACAGTTTTTGACGATCGAACCTCATTTCGTGCGAAAGGGTTGCGCCGGACAAGTTGAAATCGCAATTTTGCCACAGTTTGTGACGATCGAACCTCATTTCGTCCGAAAGTGTTCGCCGGACAAGTTGAAATCGCAATTTTACCACAGTTTTTGACGATCGAACCTCATTTCGTACGAAAAGGTTGCGCCGGACAAGTTGAAATCGCAATTTTGCCACAGTTTTTGACGATCGAACCTCATTTCGTGCGAAAGGGTTGCGCCGGACAAGTTGAAATCGCAATTTTACCACAGTTTGTGACGATCGAATCTCATTTCGTCCGAAAGTGTTCGCCGGACGAGTTGAAATCGCAATTTTACCACAATTTTTGACGATCGAACCACATTTCGTGCGAAAGGGTTGCGCCGGACAAGTTGAAATCGCAATTTTACTACAGTTTTCGGCGTTCGAACCTGATTTTGTCTCGTTGGCACTGCCCCTGCCCCCCGCCTTCAAGAGAGAAATAGAAAAGAAGGAGAGGGCAAGAGGACAAGAGGAGAAGATGTGAGGATGTGAGGATGTGAGGATGAGCAGATGTGAGGAAGATGAGCAAATGTGAAGATGAGCAGATGTGAAGATGAGCAGATGTGAAGATGAGAAGATGTGAAGATGAGCAGCTGTGAAGATGTGAGGATGCGAAGATGAGAGGATGTGAAGATGTGAAGATGAAAAGATTGAGCAGCTGTGAAGATGAGAGGATGTGAAGATGTGAAGATGAAAAGATTGAGCAGCTGTGAAGATGAGAGGATGGGAAGATGTGAAGATGCGAAGATGAGAAGATGTGAAGATGTGAAGATGAGCAGCTGTGAAGATGCGAGGATGTGCAGATGACAAGATGTGAAGATGTGAGGATGTGAAGATGGAAAGATGTGAAGATGTGAAGATGTGAAGATGAGAAGATGTGAAGATGTGAGGATGTGAAGATGGGAAGATGTGAAGATGTGAAGATGTGAAGAAAGGAAGACGTGAGGATAAGAAGATGTGAAGGTGAGTAGATGTGATTATGAGCAGATGTCAAGATGAGCAGATGTGAAGATGAGCAGATATGAAGATGAGGAACCAGCAAATCATGATGGAACACAACCCCTTTCGTGAGGAAAGAAAAAAGAGAGAAGAAGGGAGACAAGCACCGGAACCAAAGAAGAGAGAAGAAGGGAGACAAGCACCGCAACCCCAGCCGGAACCAGGAGGAACCAGCAAATCATGATGGAACAGAACCCCTTGCCTGGGGAAAGAGAGAAGAGAGAAGAAGGGAGACAAGCACCGGAACCCCAGCCAGAACCCCAGCCGCAACCAAGAGGAACCAGCAAATCATGAAGGAACAGAATCCCTTTCCTCAAAAAAGAAAGAGAGAAGAAGGGAGACAAGCACCGGAACGCCACCCGGAACCAAGAGGAACCAGCAAATCATGATGGAACAGAACCCCTTTCCTCAAAAAAGAAAGAAGAGAGAAGAAGGGAGACAAACACCGCAACCAAAGAAGAGAGAATAAGGGAGAAAAGCACCGGAACCCCAGCCGGAACCCCAGCCGGAACCCCAGCCGGAACCCCAGCCGGAACCAGCAAATCATAATGGAACAGAACCCCTTTCCTGAGGAAAGAAAGAAGAGAGAAGAAGGGAGACAAGCACCGGAACCCCACCCGGAACCAAGAGGAACCAGCAAATCATGATGGAACACAACCCCTTTCGTGAGGAAAGAAAGAAGAGAGAAGAAGGGAGACAAGCACCGGAACCAAAGAAGAGAGAAGAAGGGAGACAAGCACTGGAACCCCAGCTGGAACCAGGAAGAACCAGCAAATAATGATGGAACAGAACCCCTTTCCTCAAAAAAGAAAGAAGAGAGAAGAAGGGAGACAAGCACCGGAATCAAAGAAGAGAGAATAAGGGAGACAAGCACCGGAACCGCAGCCGTTCCCAGGAAGAACCAGCAAATCATGATGGAACAGAACCCCTTTCCTCAAAAAAGAAAGAAGAGAGAAGAAGGGAGACAAGCACCGGAACCCTAGCCGGAACCAAGACGAACCAGCAAATCATGATGGAACAGAACCCCTTTCCTCAAAAAAGAAAGAAGAGAGAAGAAGGGAGACAAGCACCGGAACCCCACCCGGAACCAAGAGGAACCAGCAAATCATGATGGAACACAACCCCTTGAGTGAGGAAAGAAAGAAGAGAGAAGAAGGGAGACAAGCACTGGAACCAAAGAAGAGAGAAGAAGGGAGACAAGCACCGAGGGAGACAAGCACCGGAACCCCAGCCAGAACCCCAGCCGCAACCAAGAGGAACCAGCAAATCATGATGGAACAGAATCCCTTTCCTCAAAAAAGAAAGAAGAGAGAAGAAGGGAGACAAGCACCGGAACGCCACCCGGAACCAAGAGGAACCAGCAAATCATGATGGAACAGAACCCCTTTCCTCAAAAAAGAAAGAAGAGAGAAGAAGGGAGACAAGCACCGGAACCCCACCCGGAACCAAGAGGAACCAGCAAATCATGATGGAACACGACCCCTTTCATGAGGAAAAAAAGAAGAGAGAAGAAGGGAGACAAGCACCAGAACCAAAGACGAGAGAAGAAGGGAGACAAGCACTGGAACCCCAGCTGGAACCAGGAAGAACCAGCAAATAATGATGGAACAGAACCCCTTTCCTCAAAAAAGAAAGAAGAGAGAAGAAGGGAGACAAGCACCGGAACCCTAGCCGGAACCAAGACGAACCAGCAAATCATGATGGAACAGAACCCCTTTCCTCAAAAAGAAAAGAAGAGAGAAGAAGGGAGACAAGCACCGGAACCCCACCCGGAAACAGGAAGAACCAGCAAATCATGATGGAACAGAACCCCTTTCCTGAGAAATGAAAGAAGAGAGAAGAAGGGAGGCAAGCACCGGAACCCCACCCGGAACCAGGAGGAGCCAGCAAATCATGAGAGAACAAAGGCCGTTTCTAGCAAGAATTGAGAACCCCATTTAGCTCAAGTGCTGTTTGGGGAAAAAACAGTGACCTATATCCAAAATAGAAGGACATGGTTTCACCATCCCCAAAAAGGTTGCTTCACGGCATTGGCTGTACCACAATCAAGCTACTGTGACTGGGGAAGACCACAACACTGCGGGAAAAATAGGACAAGATTACCCCATAACCACTGGTTTCCCCATTCAACAAAAATGAAAAAAAAATGTGTGCAGTGCAAAGGCAAAATGACCTAGTTCTGAAGATTTTGGGGTTCCTCCCAAGACTTAAGAAACCCCGGCAGTTGTGCAGCTCAGCGCCTTGCTGAAGACTGGAAGCGCGTCCGCGCCTACCAAGGGATGTCCATTCATTCGGGGTCAAACTCCACATGCCGGGTTGGATGCAAATCTTGCGGGAAACTCATTCAAAATTCCTGATGATTTTAATTGGCAAATGCCAACCAATCCACTCAAAGACAAGGAGTTCACGCCACTCATTTTTCATCTGCGACCGGATCTCTCTCAGTCAGGCACTCCAGGAGGCACTTCAGAGAGCAATCTTCGGGCAATGGTATACGAGGCCAGGACCTTGTAGAAGACGGAGAAGAGCAGCGATGCAGAAGCGGCGATCTTCAGGAACAGAGCCTTGATGAAGCGGGTGTGGATGACTGTCCCAAAGAAGACAAAACCCAAGCCTTGACCGCGGTTCGACTCCTTGATGAAGCTTTCGGTGAGTCGGACCTGGACATCATCTTTCATGCCCTCCAGAGCTCTGAGGCGGTTCAGGGAGTCAAGCAACTGGTCGAAGGCATCTGACACGGAAGCTGGAGGCAACAAGCAAAGAACTCCCAATGGCAAGAATATCAGAACCATCCAAGTGCCTGCAATCACAAGAGGCACGTCCATCGCGTTTTTGATATCTCCACCATTTCCACTGACAAACATCACAACGCTCATCAATGCCCAACCCCAACTGCAGGCTGCAAAGCCGAGAGTTGGCAGGACCATGCAATCCAAACTTGGAAGGATATCCACAGGTAGTCGAATGCAAGCATGATGGATTTCCTTAACTTTGAGCTGAAGCTGCTCCAGCCCCTCTCCCTTCTTCTCCTTTTCAACACAGTGAATATCATCAATCTTCTTGGTCACTGCACGCACATGCTCCTCCACAATTCTCGCCAGGATGTGCGAGTTGATCAGGAAGTGAGGAAGACAGGTAAACACCAGCAGGTGTGGACCAAAAGCCAAGGGATAGCGGTAGCGTGTGAACATCCTCCAGCTAAACATCGAGCGAGAGCTGCCGAATTCCCACCACAAAGCGAAGGGAACGCCAAGCCACAACATCATGACGGCATAGACAAAGAGCAAAGACGGTGCTAAGGCATAGAGCATGTACCTGATCTCTGCCTTCAAAGACTGGGTCAGCCCTTGAGGACACAAAGCTTCACCCATGAGGAGTGCATTTCCCTTTGTTGCCTTCACCCCTTTGGCCACAAACACTGTGAGTCCACAAAACAGCATGGTCGGAGCCACTACTATCAAACTTGTCGATGGAGCTCTTGGGACGAGGACAATGTAGGTCTTCAAGACCAAGAGAACGCTGCCAAAACCAAAAGCGACCAGGCTCAGCCTGGTCACAGGATGTTCAACAACCTGAGACATCAATGAGTCTTCAAACCTTGGAACTGGTTCCTGGTCTGATCCTTCAACCATCTTGGAACTGGTCTCTTCGAAAGCTTCTTCCATGTAGATCCTGTAGATCGTGCAGGGCAAGGTACAGCAAGCCAGAAAAGAGGCAAAGAACCACGGCAGCACACAGAGGACAACATAGCAACAAAGTGATGCATATGCTGGCTCTGTAGTGAAAGTCACCGTGTAGGACTCAGTTCCATTGATGCGAGCAGCCCAAAGCTCTGTAACAACTTGCGGATCTGCATCCATGACATTGATGCCGTCAATTTCTTTCACGAACACCCTAGGCTCGTTCTCAAGAAGCGAACGGGTTTGCCTCCAAGCACCTTCTTCCTTACAATCCCACTTGCTAATCTCGCTCCCAAATCCTTGATGGTAATTCAGTTTCACACCAGGCCGATCAAACGCTTTGAAGCGTTCTTCCACCGTAATTTTTGAGACTTTTCCCATGGTCCACTGCTGCCCTTCTTGCGGATCTCTCACTGTGGCAGTCATCCCCACGACTTCGCCCTTGGAACGTGCCTTGTCAGGAGGAGGCTCAGGAGAAGATGTAGGTGGTGACTTAGCACCACGTGGACCACGATAACCAGGTGCCCCAGGTGCCGCAGGGCTGGGCTCAAAATACCCATCTGGTTGCACATATGGTTGATAATACCCAGCTGGCGGAGGACCTTGAAATCCCTGAGCTGGAGGACCTTGATGCCCACCTGGCGGCGGAGATCCACCTGGCTCTGGCGGAGATCCACCTGGCTCCAGAGGGAATCGCTTTGTCTCACTCGTGTTTGTCACAGGAACAACCTCTGGAACCTCCTCTTCTGGGGGCAATTCATTGAATGGTCGCACTGATCGAACCTCCTGAGTCAGAAGGAAGCAAATCAGCACTGTGGCGCTAAACGCCAACGAAGTTGAAACGCTGGTGAAACGAAACATGGAATCGTCAAAAATATTGATGCTTGATCCAATCTGGCTACAAGTGCAGGACGTGCTGGTATAGATGTGCAGTTAGATTCTGCCGTGCAAATGAAGTACCACCCACCAGCACCATCGATGCAAAACCTGCGGCGAGGAGCCTCAGGAGGCAATGTGTTTTTGCGTCGCAGAAAACGCAGGCAGGGTCATGACCTGTGGCATTCGATTTCAACAGCTGCAAAAGTGTCTTGAGCTGTGCTGACAGCCAAACGACATTAAAATCATTAAATGCATTGAAAAAAAAACTGTGGCATTGAAAATGGCAGTGTAGAATCAAAAATCGGAATGTCATATGGATATGTTGTCCAGCTCTGTATTCGTTTCATGGTAGATATCCGTACCACAAGGGATGATCCCTTTGGCACCTCGTTTTGCCACCTGGGCACAGCAACAAGTTCTTTCGTTTCCATAGCTCAATAATGGAACAAGATTATCAATAATCTTGCAAAAAAAAATGTTTCAATAATGTTCATTCTCCATATTCTTACGACTGTGTTGGGTAAGCCATCCGTTTGATTTGCAGCCGACAAGAAAATCGCATTCTGAGCACAGGTTGATCCTTTCCCGCTCCGACCTATTCGACGCATTGCTGATATGCCGTAGATAAGTGACGGCTGCTACGGTCACCTGCCAAGGAAACGTGATCTATGAGGCCCCGCTTGAGGTCCACCTCAGGCAAGGCTTTCTTAAGAGGCCATCCGACTATCCACCCACATCATCCCCAACAATAGTCGATATAGATGACATAGTGGGCATAGTTTTGCTGTCCTTGGGGTTGTCTCCAAAATTGGAACCCAAATCCCAAGCAGTTTGTCATTGTCCCAATCACCATCGTTGGGGTTTCCAAGGTCGACAGTGGTTGCCCGCCCCTCTTACCCGCATGTCAAGTCAATGAACTACTAGTTCTAACATCTGGCAAATCCCGCGCGAAGCAATCTTCAGTGTTGAAAGTATAGATATCAAGAAGAACTGAGAAATCATCCCAAGATATGGCGATTCTAGGTCCATTTCTATACCTAAATAAGCCTCGGTGGTATCCCCAACAGCCGCAACATTTTATTTTCACAAAATTTTCTCTGCAACCTTCTCCGGAACCCGTTGAACTTGACCTGGCCCTGCACCAAAGGTCCCCAAATCCTTCTCCGGGATCTTCTCTGCAACCTTCTCCGGAAATCTGTTGAGCCTGACTTGGCTTTGCACCAAGGCTTGCTGGAACCTTCTCCGGAACCTTCTCCGGAAATCTGTTGAGCCTGACCTGAATCCGCACCAAGCCTCCAGACCTTCTCCGGAACCTTCTGAACCTTCTCCGGAACCTTGTTGAACCCGACCCGGCGCCTGCACCAGTGCACACCGGAGCTATTCTGGGCTGAAGACCCCATTAGCTTACGCTGTTGGGGAAAATTGTGGTATCATACGTATCATGAAGGTATTATGGGGGAAGAATGGGATATTTATGATACAACCCTAAGATATCCTGGGTATACAAGGGATATCCACTGGATATGGCCTTCATCAACTGCTATGGATCAAGGCATGGCGGGACCGATAGATCTGAGGCTGGTCATGACTGTCCAACAAATCTTGACTCCCTTCCCTGGCCTTCCACGTCACACCATTCACACCATTTTTCCGCACCACCTTCAGTTGAGAAAGGTTGCTTCCAGCAGGTTCCAAACACATCACTGCTGGTTAAACCAGAGAAATGTTGTTCTTTGCAGCTTATGAGGCTGTTTTTTTTCACATTGAGTGTTTTCTCCATCCTCATTAAAGTCGACACAAGAACGTCTTTGAGCATCCATGCAGTTGCAGTTGCAATTGACTGTTCATATGCTACCACAAACAAAGGAACTTTCAAACAATGTTTTAAATGATTTGTCCGAAATAGATCAAAATGGGTAATACTTTTGGAATGCCCAAAGCAGCGGAAGGGAACAAAACTGCGGAAAAAGGCGGGCAAAATGGATGTTTCTCAAACTTGGGTACTGTACCACAAACCCATTGATTTGGGGCTCTTCCAATGACCTACAGCAACACCCCAGCAGTTCAGCAGTTCATCGCCTCGCTGAAGACCGGAAACTCATCCACACCTCTCCGATACCAATTCTGCAGACACATGGCCATTCAAAATCAAAAGTCGGAATGTTATGGTAATATATGGTAATATTCTGTATTAAATTTTAGTATTGATCTGTATTACAAAATATTACAAACAACAAATCGGATATGTTGTCCAAGTCTATATGTGTTTCATGCATGGTTGATATCTGCACCACACCCAAGGTAGGACGATCCCTTTGGCGACACCCCGTTTTGCCACCTACATGGCAGGACGGGCAGGAAACAGAAAAAACATGTTGTGAATACGAGAAATGTTCTGTCATGATGCATCGTCCCTGTTGGTTTCGACAGATTCGGGCGTGACGTCAAGTTACACAATTTCTAGGGCCTGCGGTTGAGTCATATAATTCATCAAAATGAACAAGGCGAGCCGAACTGTCAAAAAATATTAGTTTAATAAATTTGTTTCCCAACCATAGATGGCATCACAAGGTTTGACCACGTCGCGAATAACCAACATTCACTTCAATCCCAACGCTAGTGGTTATGCGGTGATTCTGCAACCACACACGATATGCAACGTTTCCTTTGCACATCATGAATCTGTTCAAAACCCCAAGTTCGAATCTAAACCACAAATTCTGTATTGTCAGGTTCGGAACGGGATGATACGTACCCAAAATACTGAAACACACAATCCGTTAAGCGAACAACATTTTTTTACTCGAGCCGCAATGCTAGTAAATAATGCCATCATACATGGTGTATGGAACGGATGTATATAACACCCCCTTCAAGTGGAGGCCTTTGTGCCCGCCTTCACTGCCCTGGCTCTCTTGCAACTTGGGGCAAACACCAACGCGGCTACTGCACAAAAAGGAAACAATGCAACAATCTGCTGATTTGGAACGTACTGGCTTCTCCAAGGCTGCCATTCAACTCGCCCATGATTATAGACTAGCTTGAACTCCTCACAACGCAAAAACAACCGTTGGAGAACGTGGCAAACATATTCATAAGGTATCACCGCATATGCATATCTCTATATAAACATATACATAGCGATACACACGCTTATGCAAGCGCCAACAAAACATCTCAAACTTAGCGTCTAAACCTACGCAAAAACACAACAACTCAAATTGAAAATTGATTCTTTTGCTTGAAAGCGAAACGCCTGTGGATATATGTATGATTCACGTGTACATGCATGTCATGGCAACTGCAAATGACGACATGTTGAAGTCACAATGTCAAGTGAAATGCCAATGCATGCAACTGTTTACACTGATATATATGGGATGTGGATCAGGTCAAATCCAATCACCCCGCCTCAACCTAAGTCTTTGACTAAAGGTTGCTACATCCAAATTGCAAACTACAGACACTCGGCTAGTGTCTCACGGCTATTGGGCTCAGTTGCAAGTCATGCAAAGGCTTTCGAGGAGTCTTCTTAGTTAAAAACTCCTGCATTGATTGCGAGATCTGCTCATCAATGCTAAAGCACCACATCTCATCCAAGAGTTGCTTAACTAGCCCACGTTTTACATAAGGCCATTGCACTCTGTGATCTGGGAGTCCAGCTGGTGCATCAAATTGATGTCATTGGCATCTGATGCTGCATTATACTCAGCTTCCAACCTTCGAAGACGTCTGCGTAAGATGTCATTCGTGTCTTTCATCATCTGTTCTATGTGTCCATCTGCGTATTGTCGATGGGCAGAAGGCTCATCAGTAGCGCTAGGAGTTCCATGGTGCCAAAGTTGCCAAAGTCCTGGATCAGATACCTCGTCCATGGTGCTCTGGCTGTATCTTTCGAAGCGTTCTTGTGGTGTTTCTCCAACGCTTTCATCGTCTGTTCCCTTTTCTTCTGCGGCACCCTCAACATTGGCCTTGATGGCCTCCTTCTGCTTGTTCTCAGTTTTCGCTCCTTTCAAAAGCTTCAGCACCTTTGTCAAAGTGCCATTCCATTCAAACTGAGTTTTCTCTCCTCGCAGCTCTCGAAGTTCTCTCCTGAGCACAGCTATGTACCCCAGTGTGATGCACAAAATGGTGACGATCACCGCAAAGAAGAAGCCGCAATAGCTTCCATCCACCACCATTGGTTCTGCTGAAGAAGCGGTGGCAGGAGTAAGGCGCAAGGCGCTGATCAACATAACCCTCATCAAAGCCTTTGCATCATGATTGTTCATCCCTGCAAGTGTGAAAAGTTTGATACCCTTGCGTGTCACTGTTTCTGGTTCCAACTTATCATTCACTTCAGAGCCAACGTACTGTGAAGTACTTAGGTCATAGACCTTGCAAAGAAACATCAAATAAAGCATGCGATCTCTGTTCAACCTTTTGGTACCCAGGTCACTTGGGTTTTGTTTTGTACTAACAGGCCCAACTGAAAGAAACTTTTCCCGCACCTTCTGTTGCATCCACAGCACACGCAAACTGATGTGCCTGATCCGTCCAACACCTGAACGGTGGAAGAAACTTCTTCCAGCAGCATTGCCAAGTGAGCTTCACTTTCACTGCCTCATTGAGGCCAACACAAAAACATATGCAGTGGTACATGAGAACTGCATCGCTCGTAGCTGTCGTACCCTTGGAATGGTATGATCACTTCCAGAGAGACCCAAATGGGCCGAATTGATGCGAAAATCCAACAGGACCTAATTACAACCACTAGTCGCGCTCCTAACGTCGCAAGGGTCGGCTTAACTCCGCGTCGAGCGTTTAACAAGTTAAAACCCAAAAAACACGACGGCTGTCACTGCAAAACTCAATTCCCTTTTCCACACAGGAAAACACGAAAAGCGAGCTGTCTATCCAGCTATGTCTTGCACATGCAGCATGCATGTTTGAACTTCTCTTGTTCCGGCTGGTCTGCTCTGTTGTAAAAAGGCAGCGGCGGCATGCAAAAACAACTTCAGAATAAAACGGTCTCC